TTGAAAAGACCACACGTCAGTAAAGTTTGTTTTTATGCTAAATAACTACTAAAGTTTGCTCGTTTTTAAGCCCCCGTCATCAATTCCGTGCTCGAGCCAAGTAGCATTACGACGGATTCAATTAAAATCACCTTTTCACCCACGGACCTTGAGAACGCGGTCTTCGACGAGTATCATCTGGTCGCTGCTCTTTTCAGCGATGTCAATGTAACCGTAAAAAAGAAATCCACCGATGAAAAGTAAGCTATCACTGTTTACGCCGGGCTGGTATTAGAACCTTAGCGCCAGAGAACTTTGGCCCATGTTGATACCAACGCCACAAGATCAGTGGACTGCCTCCGAACTTCGTTTTTTCCATGTACTCGGTGGCCGACCTCCTGACCTCTGCTAGGAGTAAGATTTAAATGCCGTGCAAAAGTTTAGAGGTGCTGCGAGGACACTGAGTGTGAAAACATCCGCTTTAATTTTATCTATATGTCAAATACGGCAGTTCTACAACAGTCTGCTGTATCGGTGATGAAAAATAATCCAGTAACCTTGGATATGGTGGAGTTTTGGACGAAGTCAAGCATTGCGTTGAAGAGCAAGAGCTACTTTTGACTGAGAGCATAAAGAATACAGTGTCCACGTCTCGGACGTAGAGCGGTAGCCAGAGAACGAACTGTCTTATGATTGACCGTTAAATGGGGCTGAGGATACGACACCGAAAAAATGGAACATCTTAGGTCTGCAACGGCTTGACGACTTCGTTGAGTTCAAAAATAGATGAATTGCTTAACGCTTTGACTATTTGTGGGGCCATTTGAATATCGGTGGTGGGGGCATTTTAAATTTCTCATAGCAGATTCAGAGTTCAGTCAGTCACAAAGTAAAATATACAGGGTTAAACCTCTTCCAAAGGATTGTTTAATAATAATCCTGTTTAAGACTGTTCACAGCCATGAAAGAAATTCCCTGAAATACTTTCTAGTTGGATTACAGCTGCTGTTTGCATTACTGTGTTCCGCGTGTCAATTGTTCTTTTTATTGCTTTAACGAGGGAAGTGATACGTTCAGCTTAATTCAGTGCAGCGGTGAGAGACATAATCAGATACGCTATTTAAAATATGCACGTATTTTATACTTTCTGTCAATCGATATTAATTTGCTGCTGTTGTTTAAGCAATAGCTTTTTGTTCAAAAATTTGAATGCCGGCCAAAGCTACCTGTTCTACTTGTTTACGGTTTATAAGGGTGTTCGAAGTCGTCCGGCACGTGCTACGTTTACAACATGTAAATTTGTCTAAACTTTGTCGAATATGTCAATTTAATATTTTGCGTTTGACTCAGATCCAAAGAAAGTGAAGTTTTTACGTGCCGTCGTTAGACAGGCGTCAGTGATGCTGATGTGGGAACCGGACGGAGCTTCAGATGTGAAAAACTCGTACAAGCTAACGTAAGAAAAACTGAACAATTATTAAAGCCGCTCTATGCTAACAACTTTAGCATCAATTTTACGATCATAAAAAGACGGTTAAGAAATTACAAAAATAGGCATGAGACAGATTTCACGCAGCAGGTTCAATCAGAGCATCGTTATCATTTTCATGAAGAAATATTTGATGTGATATTAATAAATGCATGGTGTGTTCTTTGGGCAATGGCCACAGAAATCGAAATCTCGGTTATGGCTTTAGCTAACTATTACACTAGGGAGTCAGTTGGCAGAGAGTTGAAGGCGAAGTGCAGCCACAAAATGCTCAGGCATCGGAGAGCTTGGCCGAATGTCCATCATTTCAGTCCCATCATTTCAGTCACAATAACACGCTGTCCTTAGTAATCTCAAGTCAACGACTTGCTATCCATTTCTCAGCTAGTTACATTGAAGTGTGGTCAATCCTTTGCTCGAGGGAACTCGCGGTTAAGACAAGATTGTCCCTTCATCGGGATCGGTACCTATGATATTCAAAGCAAACCTATTTGCAACGTGTCTCGAAGTTCTCAGTTTTGTGAGATTAGATGGCCTTCAGCTGTTGTAACGTTTGAAACTAAAAACTGTGGGCAAATAAGTTCGGAAAAGAATCATATTCACATTGTGGAAGGCCCATGAAACATGAGTCGAAACGTCGGTACTGATTAATAACCCACCTGATCAATTTGTCAGCGTTGTGTAAAAATAAAACGTGTTTTATACAGTTCTCAGTATGATAACCAGCGCGAAAAACGAAATACTCACTTTTCACATATTTTCCAAATGATGATAATGTTTTTGATATACTGCTTCTCTACGCACATACTATTTTGTTATTTTTGAGGAATTTACACGTTGTGCAGATTATCACATTGAATTATCAGTTATCAGGTTGGTGTAGGTGTAATGCAGCCTTATGAAACGCTCGGTCAGTTTAGTTTGATATTTTAATCTCTTCAATCAATGCGGTTGAAATAAAGTAGTTAATGAAAAGCCCAGTTTATCAATGAATGACCTGACCCTTAAGCAGGACGAACATGAATTAATCATTTCCAGCATATCGCAGTAAAGACAATGGAAAATGTCTACGTAGGCTGAAATCAGACGACAGTTAGCCATTATCGGACCTGTCTTCGTCGTAGGTGCGCGATGATCGCACGTCGACGCTCCTCCCACCTAGTTTACTGTCTCCTTCCTCATTCCTCCCCTAGTCAAGTGATTCGACACTCAGGTGGTGGCATCCCGCTTACGGACGTCCAAGTGGATTGGACGTTTGTAGACCGACGGAATCCGATTTGCAATTCTTCACATCTGATTCAGGTAAGCCAAACTTCTCTTCGTACGTCCGTCCGTTAATCCAGTCCATTGCCGAATTTGTGCACGTAGAACATGGTTTTGGAAAACGACCTTGCGTATTCTTCGCTCTATCGATCGTTGCGTGACCGTTAGTTTATTCTCCTCATCATTAGTAGCAGAAGAGCAACTTCATGTCGACATCAATATTACTGCAATATGGCATATCGCAATTAAACTATAGCTTCAGAGTCTACGAAAACATGTACCAATTCCGTTGTTAAGTGTTCCTGGAAGTATTCGACATGCGGTAAACACAGACAAGCCGCAAAACTTGTAGATGATTATTCTGAAATGGCCATTGTCGAGCCTCTCTCGAAAGAGTTTGTACATGTTGCCATTAACATGTTAATGCCACTGCTGATATTAGCCAAAAGCGTATATTCTACTACATGCAAAATTGGGTGATTTTTGTTGAAACTGAGAACCTAGAAGTGGCATGCCATCCTCAGCAAGCTTTGGAAGATCGTAAATTAAACGCAAAACATCCCAAAGAGTACAAGCAAAAGAAATGTCTGAACTGACTAATGAAAGTGAAAACAAAGTTTCGATAAACTGCATAAATAACATGTCTTTAGGATGAGCACCAACGACGAGCTGCAGCCGCAAGAGTTCGTGATTCACAGGCATAAGAGTTTTGTAATGCGACATCTCCTTCCGGAGAAGTGGTACACGTTTTCCGTAGTGGTCGTGGTGGACGAGCAAGAGGGCGACTGCGAGTCGCTGACAGTAGTTACCGGTTACAAAAGTACTGGCAACAGCAAATCGTTGATTTCCAAAATTACAGCAAATCTTGTTACAGACGAACGATTAGTCAGCGTCGACTTCGTGGATGAACAGGCTGCCGGTATAGAGTTCACCAACCGCATATTTACCGATAGCAACGGCGTTGTTGATCAGTACTTCGTCATCGTCACTGAGGATTACAAGGTAACCAGAGAAGGAGAAAAATTGCACAATAAACCAACGCTTATAGCTGGACAAATTTCTTTTCCGACTGCCGAATTGGGTGAAAGTGCATCAAGCACCCGTCACACCTCCTTACATCACCAGTCCAAAAAATTACAACCCGTTTCCGAAGTTTCAAGAAGGATATGCAAGATTTATCATTGGTGAGTCAGACATTTGATATTTTAATTCAAACCGTGCATCATTTTCAAAATAAATAATCGACAGTGAGTAGATCATGTTGCATGACTGACCGATGACATATGAACTTAAACTATAACGAATTCTCTCCAACAGGCTGCAAGTGCCCGGTTGGAACATCTGCAAGATGAGCTATAAGAAAATGGCGAAATCATACCCAAACGACAGACACATGTGGGCATCTAGACTAGGCGATGGTGATCCTCATTGACTGCGAAGAAGGATCAGTAAAAAATTAAAAATTCAAACTCCACGCTAAGGACACTGACCAGCATGTTCGCTGTTAGTTAGATCACATGTACTGCGCCGTAATCGGTGATGTATCAACGCCAGCCTTAACAATCCCTCCATGCCCCATGATTTCGAGCCTTCTCCCTCGAAGGTGACAGTACCGCTCCGGATATAATCTTTCCACAGTCTGTGAGGGACAAAGAGGTCTTGTCCTTCCGCAAGGGTGCCAGTGGTCGATTATCGCTGATCATCTCCCGTTAAGTCATCCTGACCATTAAGCAGAGGTACTTTTCCAGTGCACCGGAGCATCTACCTTTCGATCTCGATTACTGCGTTTATCATTACCGTCCTCTGTCTCATCACTTCGTTTGGGGTGTGGTTACTACGCGAGATTCCCTAAAGATTTCGTATGGCTGTCTCAAAGCCAAATGGCTGGCGCTCTTCGGCACTGGTGAGTGACCGCCTCCCACAACCATACCACATTACCGGCTGCATGCTAGAATATAAAGACGTAGGAGCAGATTTTTTTCCTAGTGTTGCTGAGGTGAACGTCCTTGATTGAACGGAACGCGCGCCAACCGGCTCTCCTTCTCCGTTGAATCTCTTCGGTGTGACCATGCCACATGTTGATCGCTTGGTTCAGATAAAGGAATTTATGTACTTGTTTGATTTTTTTACCGTTTAATATTACTTGGTCCCTTGGCAGAGCATTACCTTGTCTTTGGCAGTTTTCTGCAAGTTTCACCTTTAGGTTTCAAACTCTTCCTTCAGCCTCTACCTAATGATCCCTGAGCCATATCGGGGCCATCACTCTTCCTCTTCCTTTGCTTTCATAGTAGCATCTTTGTCTTTCCTGAGACTTGTAATTTTGCTGTGATGTTATTTACTCTGGCTCACTTTACACAGTGCCTCAGTTTCTCTCTCTCCGAAATCGATCGCCGTCGCAACTGATTTTCAGGCTCAAGTCTTCGCTTGAAATGCGTCCTTTGAGCATCACGTCATCGAATACCTTCGATGGTTGTCTGGAATTATCAATCTAAAATGCCTCAGTTTCGAGCTTCTTCTCGAGATTTGGCATGTCTCAGATGATGCAGCGTTTATCATACAGGATTAAGTCGATCCCGTTCTTCGTTGCCACTTGGGCGTGATCCGTGTCCACCTCCAACTGGTCTTCTTCTTGATACAGGTGTTGCTAATCTACAGCTGTTTGGCATCTGTCATTGTCAGCAGCTGATCTCCTCAATTATTTTGCTCTCTAGGCCCTTGCCTTTTCAGTGGCCTTTGCTTGTGTCGTCATAGCTTTGAAATTTCCCATGACGAGGGTATACGCAAACTTTGTGACCAATACCTGCTCCACTTCTTGACAGGATTCTTCCACTTCCTCTTAGTCATCTGCACTTGAGTGAAAATTGTTTTGGACCATTTTCGAGGTTCTTTAATTGCTCGGTTGAATGCACAGCGATTGCATACGGTAGGAGACAATTTTAGAGGTCCAGCTATTGCTGCCAGCAAATCTGATTCCTCGTCATGTCTTCGCGCCCTGTCTTCTTCCTAGATAAATCGAAATGTCGTCTTTCCGGATGCCACTGATCTCCTCCTGCCGTCGGGGGTCGCAGAGGCAGTGGATGTCCCAAGCCAGCTGTGACCTTTCCTGCTCACGGTATTACCCCCAAATCTTTGGGAATGCGAACGCACCATTAATTCAACGTAGGCAAGAATTCTATGGAAGATGGGAAAAGATTGAAGTAGAAATGCGACACCAGACAAGAGTACATCACTTTGTGTCTTACTTATGATGTTCTCATGAAACTGTAGGGTAAGGGAGCCAATGGTAAGGGAGCAGTCCACAGATCTTGCTATGCTTGTAAACAAATCCTTTTAAAAGAAGGATTCCAACTTCAAACCCGGATGAAAGAAACACCAATCATCATTGTGGCCGAATCAGTGATCAGGTTAAAAGGGGTACAGGCTTTATCCTGAGCTATTATTTTTCTGGTGCTTGCTTAGCGCAAGTGGAAGTTACTTCCACGCTGAAATTTGAGTCCAATTCTAAAAGACGGAAAACGGTTGAACGCTATTGGTCGAACACGATAAAATCCAGAATCAGCTGTTTTCTCAATGGCACCCAAAGTGAAGAGTGCTTTTGACGTTTCCTTTGTTTCAGCAATTTAAAGATACCTTAATTTGTACTGCATCTGCAGCACCTTTCATGATTCTGAATAACCGTTTATTTAGTTGACAAAAGAGTTGCACGTTTAAATACCCATACGTTCTCCACACGTGCAGCTTCACTGTCCACATTGGGCAGTACCTTAAATAATCAAATAATCAGACCGTTTAAGACTTTAATAGAGAAAACAGTATATTATTCTTGTAGCTATTAAAATTGCAAATGGACAATAATATTATACAACAGTTGACTTGGGACTGCTCTAAAGAATCATACAGTAAGGCAAAATATGGTGGAGTTTATGGTCCTACCTACGCCCTTGCCGTAGGAGTATAACCCCGTCAAAAAACTTTGATACTCGGCTAACGAGACTTTGGTAACCTGATCTCACGGACCTCTTGTTTATCTTGTGAAAAAGTGCTCTGATTATATATCCAAGTCGCAGAGATCCAAGTCACGTATTCACCATGCGCCAAATTAATCCTCAGGTAAAGCATGCATGCAGAATCGTTTCTTTAGTCCGTCTACCCTCTGAGTGAAAAATAACAACTGATGCGGAAAAATGGACGGATAATGTGAAAATGGTTTATGCATAATACCGCAAGAAAACATTATACTCAGTAATTTGGTTGAATGCTTATGATATGGGCGTAATAAAATAACCAAGTTATCTAATCGAGTTTTGCATTCAAATAATCATTTCCTTTCTAAATAAAGAATGATATTCGTTTGTTAGTTCTTTCATTATTATGGAAAGAAAAAAATGTAATTTAGGCAGGGATGACCGAATGGCAAACACAAACATTCACCTCTACTAAAGATGCCATTCGCATCGCCAAGCAACTGCTTGCCAAAGACAATGATGGGTCAGTGCTCACCAGTCAACAGCTCCTAATCGCACCATTTAGCTTTTGAGTGACCATGAAGCATTTGAACAATACTGAGCCGAATGTGAACAACCTTTGAAAAGGGTAGAAGATAGCAGTTCTTAGGGTTTGAGCATATCCAAAACATCGCATACTCAAATGATGCTAGGGATCCAGCGGTTACGCCTTTACTGACTTTTGATCCTGAAACTTTGTATCGACTATCTATCACGCCTCGGCTGATTGGTTGATTTTTTCGTCTGATCTTGCAACACCGTGGCCAACTATTAAATAACATTTATGACATAATTTTAAAATATTTAAGTCATTAGCAGTCGTAGCTTTCCACTACTAATCACTTCATGTACTAATTTAGGTTCTGAAAGTTGCGACGATAATTGGGATTACTGTAATGGACCTCTGAAATCGAATCGCGTGTACTTCGTGAAAATTAGAGCATGCACAGTTTCTCTGGTTTGTATGGAAAACGAATACACGAAGTTAATCGAATCAGGTAAGGGTAATGCAGAATTTGTTAAGTGTTCAACAACGTTGTCTTTGAACATGCGAATGAATTTTCAGCGTAAATAATCCCTACAACAGTTGCCTATGCCATGCTGTAGTCGATTGAAGATAAGCGTCCTTACCGAGTCCAAAATTACATTTTCTCTTGTTGAAGTGAAGATATGGAAGTGTCACAGGAGCCCAGTCCAATGGGCTAAGAAAATGGTACAGCTCACAACTCATCAATGATACTAGTCACTGATCAGAGCTTCAAAAAGTGCTTTATGAAGCTTAGTGGCATGGAGAAGCATATTTACTCTCTTCCTAACTGACCAAAATTATAACTAACCGCATACTATCAGTATATAATGATGATAATATTAACTACCTTAACGCTTACCCCTGGCGTAACCGAACAACTCAGTGCGAGCTTCACAGTCATACAGTCTTAAAGTGTTTTTCTGTTAGGGGGACATTACTCGCAGCTTACTATGTGTGAAGCTTGATCTCATCTATGCATGGCAACTAAGATTATCGCTCCTACCACGTAAGTCCTGGTTACTGCAGTTGCGTGCAAAGTGGCCAGACG